TCCAATGCTCATAGCACAGCATCTTAAAGATGAAAGAAGAAATTGCACCCACCACCCCTGACCTTTATCATCACCATTACCATCCAATATCTGCCCAAGCACAGGTCTAAACTGGCTTCGTGATGAAGATTTACACATAAATTGTGCTATATTCTTAAATTATAAGTTAAAACACCTCAAGCCTTAAGAACACTACCTTCCAGAAACAAGGTCACCTGATCCACGACTGTTAAAAGTTTTCTTATGTTTTTAAAAAAAAAAAAAAAAACGAGAAAAGTAACACCATGCCTTAAAAGTATTCTAAATATAATGACAGAACAAAATTTTTACTGGCAACCAGTGTTCATTAGAGCATAGAGAATGGACTTGAAAGCAGAAATAACTAGAATGGAGGAAAAGATGAGACAAAATGTAGATAAGGCAAAAGTCATCGCAGAAAGAGGCGTCCATGGTGGTAAAGACCAAACCTTCACAGTTTTGACTACACTGTTTGGTTGTTTCATTCTGAATGTGTCAATATCATATCTCTACGGGCAATAAATTGAAGTTATCATTGGTATCCTTCAAGTAACCAGGAGAAAAGGAGCTAGGATTATTTCAGGACAGATGCATTTCCACTTGTTTTCCTATAAAAACAGACCCTCTTACTGAAGCTTTTAAACATTTTTTTCAATTAACAGTTGACATTCATTACCCAGAATTCCACTTCTGGGTATTTATCTAAAGAAATCCAAAACAGTGACTCAAAAAGATATATGCACCCCTACATATTGCAGTGTTATTTACAATATCCAAAATATGGAGGCAAAAAATATGCCTCCATATTTTTTATCCACTAAGTGCCATGATAAGTGGATAAAAAAGATGTGATATATTGAATACATACACACACATACACACATGCACAGTGGAATATTACTTGGCCATAGAAAAGAATGAAATCTTACCACTTCTGACAACATGGATGAACCCAGATGGTATTAAGCTAAGTGAAAACTTGGAGAAAGACAAATAAATACCATATGGTTTTACTTATTGAAGATTTAAAGTCAGTGTTGGATTATTCAGTGGCCAGAACCATATATTCCTTCCCAATACAAGGCCATGCCCTTGAATTCTTTGAGAAATCATTTCCTGATCTACTTTTCTCCAACACTCCATCTCATTCAACAGCCCTGGTCATACATATTGTGTAGGTAATGCAATTTAGAGACTTTTGTGGCAACAACCCTTTAAATTTAAGGAAACAAAGTAAAGAGAAGAAAGGTTAAAATGTACCTAGAAGAAGCAATGTGTTAAAAAGATGATAATCAGTTTCTATAATTCACAGAGTAAGCATCCTATGAATTAAACTCCCTAGTTGTGGTCATGTTATCAAGGTTCTCTGAGAGGTAAATGCCTTTCAATCTGAGTGCTTTCAGGCATTTGTCTGAAGTAACTCACTCATGAGTAGGATTAAGGAAAAGTGCATAATTCTCTGCAAACAAGAACAGTCTTCCTACTCTCTCTGGGACTGGAAGATGGCTCTAAATAAGAGGCTCATTTATTTCCATGCACCTGTGATTTTGTTCCTAAGTGGTATGAATGGCTATTGAGTATCTGGTTCAAAAGCAGGACTTCTCTTTTGCAAATTACTTAGCTCCCATTTCATTTAGAGGTGATTCAAGAAGGCATTCTCTGATGTTTATGATATTGCCTTCTATAAAACACTTGAACAGAAAAGAGGTAATTATTTAACTAGTTGGGTGGAGAAGGAGGAAAGGTACCTTTCTCATTGTTTGAAATTAAAACAAAGTAAGCATCTAAAACACTTTGAGAGGCAGTCCTAGTATAAGTGTTTTTATGTTCCCATATCACATTTTCCTGGTTGCTAACATGTGAATCATAATCCACAGCATCTCACATATCATATTTTGGTATGTAAGCAATGTAGACAAATACATTTCTTATCACCCCCTTAAGCACACAGTGCAGACATCTGTTGACTTGGCTTGCTCAAAATACTACATTAACACTCAGTCAAAACTACTGGATGCTGACCATCAATTCTAGGTCTACATGAAGATAAAATGAGACAAGAATCTAGCCTGTTAATAATACATGGAGATTTTGGTCTCCCAATTGTCCCTTAGAAAACTTGGGGGAAAATTAGGTAAAAAAGGAAAGAAGTCATCTTTCCTTCCTACTTCTTAGGAAAGAAGTCATCTCTCCCCATGACTGTCAGTTGCTATGTGCAATGTATTAATTTTTTTTTTACTGTGATATGGATCCAGGCAAAGTGACTCTGCATTATCCCTGGGTTTTTAGAAGAGTCTGATTGCATGGAGTTTATTCCTTCAGTCTTGGATCTAAGGAGTTTATCTTTCTCTCTCTCTCTCTCTCTCTCTCTCTCTCTCTCTCTCTCTATATATATATATATATATATATATTTATTTATTTATTTATTTATTTATAAACACACATATGTATATATGTGTATATATAAAGGTTTACATATAAAATTTATATATTACTATATAGTTTATATTATATAAAATTTAAGTTGAGTTATATATATAAAATTTCATATATTCATTATATATTTATATGTAAAATTTTATATATTTATTTATATATAAGATTTATATACTACATATATATGTATATGTACATATAACCTAAGAAGAAGTTGAGTTGCTCTGCAGAGAGCATCTTTGTGTGTGTGTGCCAGTTAGGTTTTTAAGGATGCAGGGGCGCTGCCTGGGATCCACGCTGCCTTTTCAAATCTGGAAGGCTAGGGCTCTTGCCTTCAGCCCTCTGAGCTCTCTGTTCCACTTGTACATACTGCCTTGGGGCTCTGTAGCTCTTGGTGGGGCTCTGTGGGGCTAGCACTGGCTTGCCAAAGACTGCATGTAGTCAGCTTTAGAGCACCTCCCAATAGTTTCAGCCCATTAACCAGAGCACAACAGCTTGATGAATTAATGCTTATATAGGCACAGTTGGCAGCTTCTAATTAAATAATTATGGCTAAGCAGCTGCAAGGAAGTTGTTACGCACCCTAGAAAGCCAGCTGTCAGTTTTGTTGGTCCTAAGACAGAGGAAGAGTTAACCCTGAGCTCTGGATGTTAGGCAAATGGGCAAGTATATCATATGTAACATACATGCTATGCAATATAAAGTTTCTGTGTATTTGTGCTAGCCTGTCCTTGGAGGGATGGAGAGCAAAATGCTCCTCAGCAACCTCTCAGCAGTCCAACAAACCGAGAACAATTATATGATCAGGAGAACAGAGCCCGTCCAGAGGAGCGTAAAAAGAACACGGTGTTAGATGCATGAGTCTTTGATGGACATAGAAATGACACTGAGCTAGCAGGCAAATACATTTCAGGTTCTGGGCCTCATTTAAATGAACAAGTGATTAGAAATCCATCATGGTCTTTTTGGGGGGTAGAGCTAGTTTGTTTATTTGGCTGAAGCATTTTAAGATGCTGTTTTCAAATATTAGAAATTGGAGAACAAGGTAAATATCACAAACCTAGATTTGAACTCCAAGGTACATTTTATCCAAAAATCGAGGGGAAGATATTTGTCCTACAGGATCACAGATAATGTCAGATTCCTCCACAGACGGCTGAAAAGCTAGAGTCTTATCTCTGCACGAGTGGGAAATTCACCAAAAGGAAGAACAGTATCTTCGACTGAGCTCCAGCACAGGGGAAGATGTAGGTTATAGATAAAGGCCACAGATAGGGTTATTAGGCCAAATCATGCTTGTTACTACACATCAACACACTTCAGAACTAGGAGCTGATTTCATGTTTCTCCACAGGCACAACCCACATGACTTCACTTCTAAAAAGCCCAGCATGTGTCAACTTAGTACAGAACAACTTGACTTCCCACTGACCAATTCACCAAGATTCGAGCACCCTGTACAAGGAATGAGCACAACTGTAGGCGAAAATGAGTCTAAGAAATTCATTTATACCTTTATATTTAAATAAATTCTGGTGTTTCAACCCCCTAAATGTATGGGTTTGCCTTAAAATAAGAGAGAAAATAGAGTGTTAACAATGGAAACATATCTTTTATGGAATTTACCCCCCTAGTCACAGGCCTGTTGAACATCAGCAGTTAAATCAGGCACTAAACTTTACGACTAATTTACTGCCCTCCTTTCAAAGGTCAATGGCTTATAATTCATCTAAAATATGCCATTTCCTAAAAGAAGGCAATCTGTGCTGAAAGTCATCATTTAAGCAAATGGACTGACCTCGAAGAAACCGAGTTAAAAAGCTTCCATACAATAGTTTCCTTCCCTATTTTCCCTTTTATGTCAGTAATTCTATCACCTCCACCTCAGCTAACTAGATGTTTGCATGTGATTGACAAGTCTCAAGGATCTAGCTCCTTTTAGATGGATCTTAAATGAAGTCAGCTTAATTAAGTCTGCAGTGCAACTCAAGTCTCAGTACAAACTACTAAAGAATTATGGGAGGGAGAAAGGGGGTCTTTCATCAGTCTGCACTGCCATCTAGCCAAAACCACATCATTCGGTACAACATCCACTTGTGTCTTCAAAGCCCCTGATGAAAGCAAGTCTTCAGCAACCAGCTTAATAGACCCCCAAAGTTCAGATACAAAAACAGACAGCAGCACTTCATCCACTCTGAGTCTACCAACCTCCACAGACCAAGGGCCAAGTTCTAATCGTCACCTCACTTCACAGTTCAATATCTGGCAAACAGATACGCATGTCTGTTTTCATCTCACATAATACCTATACCAATATCATTTGCATCTTGTGATTTTTTTGAAGCCTTTTAATACTCTGTGACTTCAGTTGGAAAAAAACAGATAAAGGTTGCCTTAGGTAAGACCTGAGAGTTGAACAACCACCTCTAATACTCTGGCTATACCTCAAGTTTTTAAATATTCCTTAGAACCGGAACACACAGACCATACACATCTGTAAAGAGAATCAGTGCACATAAAAAACAAAAACAACCCTTTGCACTTACGGTAGAAGACGTATTCAGTGTAGCTCGACCAGATCTTGTCATCTGTATACTGGTTGACGAAAGATGCTGTCACCGAGGAGTTACAGGCCACCATGTGGAATCCACACTCCGACAACATATCAAAAGCCTTTTCCAGATGCTTGAATTTTAGATAAAATCTGGAGGTGTACCTTTCTGGGGCTCGGTCAGGGTCTCTGCTCTCATTCAAACTTTCTCCAAAGACTTCCTTTGCCAAGGAAATCCTTCCACAAACCAAAATCCGAGGAACTCTCCGAAACTTAGCATCTGCCTGCCCCTCTCTGCCCATGGTGCAGGACCCCCTGTAGCCCACAGTAATGAAACCCCACTTGCGGTTGACAGGGAGCAGTGAGGAAGGGGGGCAGATTCTTGTGTCACTTCCTTGGGAGGCATCTTCAAAGTCACTATGGCAGAATTCCTCCGGGCTTTGCTTGACTTCATCAGGGGTCAGGAGTTTGACCAAGTCTGGGAGCTGGAAGTACTCGGCTTCCCTTTTCAGTCTTCCTCTTTCTGGGAAGTGATCAGGCAGGACCACCTGCCTGTCCCTGAGATAGTCCAGTATGTAGCGAAACAAGAATCCATCTCTGTCAATGAAAAACCTTCCCTTGGAGTCCTTGGCTAGATCGTTAGCCGTGTCTCTCTTTGGGGAAAACATTTTCCACAGCAGGGAGTGAGGGATGCTTACTAAGGTGGAATGGCGAGTGAAATAAACTTGTCCCCCAACATTCAGCTCCATGACCTCAGGGAAGGAGTTGGGAACGGTGGCCCCTTGGTCTCGAGGATAATAACGACTACAGTTTCCACTCAGAGCCATTGTCCCTTTCTTTTCCTCCTCCTATTTTGATTTGAAGGTGCAATCCAAAGAACTCACAGCCTTATCCTTTACATCAACTTGTTAGGGAGGGAGAAGGATGCAAACGTATTAAAAATGACCTCCACTAACCCCTGTATTTTTCCCCAAGAAAGCAAAATTTAGAGGAGTCCACAGGTGAAGTAGTTTAAACCCTGGCTGGTAGTAAGCTATTACTTCATGGAATATAATCAACTCATCTCCATTCGATCTTCCCCCAGGCTCAGTAGAGAAGGCAGGCCAAGTCCCCAGTTACTCAGAGATCTGTCTAAAGGAAAAAAGAGAAAATTATTTCCTCAAACCCAGTATGAGTCAGAAAAAGAGAGAGCTGCTGGAGAGGGGAGCTGAGAGGGAGGGAGAGGGAGGGAGGGGGAGGGAGGGGGAGGAGGGATGCAGGGAGGGTATGAGGGAGGGAGAGATAATTTTACATAAGCAGCCCTGAAACTACTGGTTTCGGCCTTTCTCCAATGCAATAGCTCCTCTCAAACTATTTCGTGTCTACATGTTTATCCATACGTCTGTCTCCAGCAATTAGTATTAAAAACATTTTTATTTGTACCTCTGCATTTAAAAGGACTATGCAATTTTCAACTTCTAAAAGGGGATTTTTTTTTTCAGCTGGACAGGAAAATCAATAAACCTCAGAACTTACCTTATTGAGTGCTGGAAACTCAGTCCTGTGAAGAAATGCCCATTTGCAAAGCAGTCAGAATGCACAGCCACATCGAGCCTATTAATGAAAGTGCCAGAGAGGTGTGCTCTCAGAAAAGATTATATATTTATATAAATGTATATTTGCTTGTATGAACGTATATATTCACTTTCAATCTCGTTAAAGCAAGTCACAAGAAAGTTAAACGGTGATAAGAGGTGATCGGGTTGAAAAGCAGAGACAAATATTCAACCAAAGCTTCTCCAGGAAGGAAAAAAAATCAAAGCCTCAACAAGAACCGTTCAAACAGAAGCGAGTTGCGAGAGGTACCAGGACTTAGTAGCTTTTCGGAAAGCCCAGACGCAGGAAGAAAGACAGAGGTGCCCTGCTGGGGTCCCAGGTAGCCATCCCACCTGCCGGCAAGGGCGAAGGGGCTCCCATGTTCCCAGCCAGGTGGGAGCAGGTAGGAGCTGGTGGGAGCTGGTGGGAGCCGTTGGGATCCGTTGGGAGCCCTTGGGAGTCGTTGGGAGCCGTCGGGAGACGGTGGGAGGTGGTGGGAGCCGGTGGAGCGGGTGGGAGCCGGCGCCGCCGAAGCACGGAGATACCGGCGAGTCCTGGGCTCCGGCAGCTCCGGCGGGCGACGGAGCTGGGCGGTTCCACAGTTCCCAGTGCAGTTGGACTGCTGTTGTTTCAGCAGTGCAGGCAAGAAACCATCCAGGGAAATGACTATTACATCATCTTAAAGGAATATGGCTTGGAGAAAGCGGAGGCAGCGCCGAGTCACGTCCTCCTCGGTGACAGGTTGCCGGGACTGCACGGGGACGCCGCGCGCCGGCCGTGGGCCCGCGACTCCCGGGCGCTCTGGGCTTGGGGCGGGGACGCCGCGCCGCGCCGCCGCTTCCCTCCCCGCCCGGCCGCGAAGTTTGTAGTTTCCCAGGGCCTTTTCGTAGTCTTTTCTTCTCTTTACACCTCCACCGCCTCCCCCCAACCCCGAAACAAGTCCAAACCAGTGGAGAGATAAACGCAAGTGGTTCTTCACTTGAAAAATCTACAAACCAACCCTTTGCACAGGCACTGAATTTCTGCAGAAGGGCAAATTTCTCCTCTAAAGCTTGCTTTTTTTTTTTTCTTAAAGCACACTGAATGATCCCAACGTTAAAACTATAAATTAGCTGGTGTGTTGTTGTTGTTAACCGAGGGATTAACCCATGCTCTCTTAAACACCCCCCTCCTGTTTTTCCTCCTGCTCCATCTCTCTGCCACCGCCCCCAGCAAATAAGTAAATAAATATTTACAGTCTCTCCGGAATTCGTGCTTCTTCAAAAGAATACGTGAAGCACTGCTACCCTCAGAAAGCTCACAGTTCGCACCACTAAGTCATTGTCTTACCTTACCTGTTAGAAATTGTAACCTGTGATCTTTCTCTGGGGCCGTTTTCTCACTGAGCATCTTCTTGGGTGTGCCCCCACGCCCGCCCGCCCCACTCAGCTTCAGAGGTCTCTGGTGGAAGGCACGCCTGCTAAGAGTTTACTCCTGTCCCAGAGGACTCCCTTAAGTGCATCATTAGAGTTTCAGGAAGGCATTTCCAGGGCAACCTAATCCACTAACGAAGTGCTTCCAGTCGATCCTGCCAGTCAACAACGGCCCAGCCAACAGCTTACAGTAAGTCAGCCATTTCCCCTTTAAAACGCTGGCGTTTTCGGACTCCCACTCTCAGTAAGGACATAGTACTTCATCTATGAATAATGTATGTGAGCCTCACTCCATCCCCCAAAATTGCTATTTAAAAAATTATAGACACCAAAAGTGGACAGGAAAGTATGAATTAGATAGATTTTATGGGATACCTGTGTTTATTGCCAACTCTCATCTCAAGACTTAGCTTGAATATAGACGCAGCGGCCGGATGAATTAATTTCTAGCTTAACGATCTTTTCTTTCCGTGACTATCAGGTTACGAAACACACTCAGAGTGTTAGCTAGCACTCTTAACACCTGATTATATCTGACTTTTTTCTTTTAACCCTATTACCTGTTCTGGCCTCCATCATTGGGATATTAATGCTGGACCAATCAAGGAAATGTTTATTATTTGATGCACTTACATCGCCATCTACTGACCCTAAACTTGCAGTGCGGATCTGTATCTGGCAGCTTAGCTGAGCCAAAAGTTAGATTTTTTTTCTTGACTTTAAAGTTTTTGTACTGACTTGAGTATTGCCGGAAACACTAGGTTCACCTCGATAACAAAATAAACATTTAGTTTCCACCAGGTCAAGGGAAAAATAAGTCTGAATCCATGCTATTAAGTATTGGGTTTGGTTGTAGGTAAAAGTAAACAAATGTTTTATTTCTGACAGAGTAGGCCAGCCAGTGTACCATGACAAAAGCTTTGGAGATTGGATATTAAAATATTCTAGGAACAGTCTGACAGGAAGTGAAAGTTGGGAGTAAGAAAAACCATAGCCTTTTAAATTAAAAGGAACTTGAGGAATGGAAATCACCATCTTATCTTAGAACAAATGAGGACCAGAGAGAGAAAGCATTTCCACAGAATCACACAGCCGTGGCATAGCGGGGTGAAGCTGGGACCGCTGCCTGTTCAGTATGATCAATGTCCTCTTTTTAACCTTATAGATCCTAGAATAGGGATAGAGAAGAGGCAACATTAAAAAAGAAAAGAATTAAAATTACTACACATTTAAGAACAAAAAGAGCAAGTCATTTTAAAAGACTTCAATATTAAGTTAGATTGCAAGGCTAAAAATTTTTACCAAAAAAAGGGTATTCTGAAATTCAAAAACGAGGAACTCTGATCATTGATCTGGGTTTCACAGGTTATGCTAATTTTTTAGACTAGTTCTTAACCATTTTTGAAGAATGACTGCTCGGAGAGTCTTTTGAAATCTAGAAAATGAACACGAGCATAAAAGTTTGCATTCCATGTCTGGGGCAGAGTCTCAGAAAGAACTGTAAAGAGAGGAACCTGGAACTCACATTTTCAGCAATCTGTAAATTTTGACTACGAGCTTCCTCTTTGAAATGAGATTACACATACGCTCTCTGAGACACACTCTGAAGACTGGGAAGATGAAACATTCACTAGATAACCTTCACCTTGTGACCCCTGGTTGGACCACACAACATGAATTCATATTTTAATAACCACTGTAAACATCCTATTCTTTGCACAGAATTGCTTTATATTGTTTTCTGCTAAAATGTTCATGTATTTCAGTAAAGTGTGTAAAAATAAGCGACTGTTTTTGCTAGCCCCCTTTAGGTACACTTAATTTGTAATCTACCTGAAGCCTCAAAAAATGGAGAATGTCTAGAGAATGCCTCTCTCCCACCTTTTTGAGAGATCAGGGGTTTAGCTCAAGATTGGTTAACATCCTCTGCTCTGTACTCTTTCTTGTTCCTTTAGTGTCGAGGAGGTAAACAAATGAGAACTGAGATTAAAAGGATAATAGCCTTGAAGGAAACATAACACAGAGAGAGATCTGACTAGTGCTGGAGTAAGCAAGCATGTCTCAGGGAGCTTGTCAGTCAGTGCAGCTGCTGGGTGCCTTACCCAGAGGCAGGAAGCCAAGTCCGGGCTGTAAGCGTATTCCTGGCCTTCGTGTCAGCAGATAACACTGCTAGTGTTAGGATTCTCTTCTGCCAGCTCTCCACTGAAACCTTGCGGGATGCCACACTGGCCCAAAGGCGAACATACAGCAACAGATTTCTCTTCGGGGCAGAGCAAGGAAGAATGTTCTGTCCTGTGCTTAGTAACTGTCAAGCCTGCATAGCACATCAAGACACACCATGGGTGAACTGCGGAAATCCTAAAATGTGTCCTAGTCTGTTTCCTGTTCCCCACCGTCACACACCCCCATAGCTGAATATTGAAGAGTACATTCTCAAAAGGACAATTTTAATTTTGGAACAATGAGATCACTTCCCATATTCTCACCCCCAACCCATCTTTAAGACTTCTCTTCCCTTGAGCAGAGACAGTTTTTATGCTGACTGTCTTTGTTATCAGGGAGGGAAGAAATTGATCTCATAAACTAACTCATTCTAAGATGCTATACACTCATTGTATTAGGTGCCCCAAGGATTCCCGTATTATCATAATAGCTACTGGAGATGGAAGGTGTGGCCTCAAGCTCTCTTAACAGCCATTACTCCTCTTCCAGCTGCCTGGCTGGCTATGTAACACTGACAGGAGACTCGATGTCTCTGAGCAGGGTGAAATAAAGGCCATAAGACCCGACTCCCGGGTGTGTTGTACAGATTAAATACTGTGATGCATGTGAGACCCCCTGGCACATTCCCTGGCTCTAGGTGAATGGTTAGTAAAGACCAGCAGTATTGATGACAGCAGTAGAAGTGTCGGTACAAGTAAACTCAAGTGAAGGCACTAAGAAGTTACCAAAGATGTCCAAAGACTGAAATTCAGTTCTACTTCTGAAATTATTCCTCTTTCCACCATGCAACCTCAGTTAAAGATGGTTGCTTACAACAGATGTATTTGTTAATAATGGGGGAGGGATTTCAGGCTTTGGCAAGGAGATAGGGTAGCAAAATGAGAAACTGAGAACAATCAGTTCCATAATGTTAAAAATGAAAATGTCACTACCTTCTGCCAGACAAGGTCACATTTCTGGTGTCCTTTCATTTCAATCCCCACAGGGATTGATGAAGTGTCTGGGTTATGTCCAACACAGTGTTAGGTACTTAAAACACCGAATTCTATACAACCTCTGAACTCAAACACACACAGAGAAATACAGATCAACCCATACTCAAAATCCTGCCAATGGAAGACAAAGATTAAAAATTCCTAGATTTCTGACCAGTGCCTCTTAGTTGCAGAAAGACCCCTGCTGCTATATTTGGCTGTCAGCCCTATGTAGATCACTTGTGATCGGGACAGACCACTTGACCCCAAGAGACCTCTGCTTCCTTGTCTATACAGTGAAGTTGTCTCCCCTTACAAAGATACTGTGACTGATGGCAAAATAAAGATAAAATACAGCTGTCAAATCTTCGGAGACATAGTAGGAAGTAATTTGTTACGTAAGAAACAGAAAAGAAGGCAGCAAACAGAAATCTCTCTTGTTACAAAAAGCCTTCCAAGGAAGAATTTGAATT